AGTTGAACGAAATATCGAATCCCCGTTCGACAGAATTTGGGGCCTCATCCCTGGTTTCCGGGGTGCTAGGGCACCCTGCATTCGTGCGGAGCGGGCGCGGGACGAGCATCCCCGACCCTAGGTAGTGGGGGGTCCCGGTGCCTTGTCAGGGTTCTACGTGGCGGGGCGTCCCGTCAGAGTCCCGGCGCAGGTGACCCAGCTCTGGGTTTGGGGTCCCAGCTGGGAGATGCCAGGAGAGGGGAGAAACCCCAGGCTCGGGTGGGGCGCACAGTCGCCACCTGCCCAAGCAGGCAGAGCGGGCTCTGAAGCACCTCGAGTCGCAGCCGGATCCGGAGCGCCCCCCGGTGCCGCGGTGCCGCGCGGGAGCCCCGAGCAGCCAAGGCGGCTGCAAGGTGCGGGACACGGCGCAGGCCAGTTGGGCCCGGCCAAATCTGGGCCAGGCGTGGAACTTGTCTGCGGAGGCTGCGCCCGTCAGGAGAGAAAAAAGCAGGGCGGGAAAAGTAGCTCAAATCCTACCTGCATGACCGAGCTCACCGGGGTGCGTCTAAGCAGCTCGCCTTTGGGACCCACCCAAAATATCCGGATAATGGTTCCCCCGTCCTCAGTGCGTTGGACTTGCGTAGACTCGGGTTCGGCCCCAGGGGCCACCACGATAATTTGGGGGTCTGGGGAAACCATCTCCTGGAGAGTTTGGACGATGTAAGAAGGCATTGTGATTTTTGCCAAGTCAAAACCATTCACAAGCCCCTGCACTCCGCCCGCCCCCCGCAGCCCGCGCTGCCCGCGCCTCGCCGAGAGGAAGGGGCCGCGGGCGGCGGAAACCCGCGCGCCAGCTAGCCCCCTTGCTCCGCCATCAATCACTGCGCCCGCGCTCCGCGCGCGCCTCCCCAAGTCCTTGGCCCCGCGGCCTGGAGGCGCCGCGCCGCCCGGATGGGGAGCGCCTCTCCTCCGCATCCCACCGACCCAGCGCCCTGCCCACACCGGTTCGGGGGATCCACGCCGCTTTCCAACAGTTGAGATCTTTCAACAAAAGTGGCGCCAGTTTCGGGGCGCTCAGCCCGAGGGATTGCGGCCGCTGAGCGGGAAGCACGCAGCGGGTTCCCGCGCCTCTCATCAGCCTGGGGCTGCCGCCATAGACAAGCACCAGGAGGGGCAGCGGGTGCGGGTAGGAGAATGGCTGGGGCCGCAGAGTGACGGGACCAGCACAGAGGGGAGCTCACCGCGAAGCTGGAGGCTGTGTCCGCGGGTGCACGAGGAGCCGAGGCAGCAGGCGGGCGAGCGCTCTGTGGCAAGCAGTGGACTCTGCTGAAGGTGAGCAAGACCCCGGGGGCAGTCCCCAATGTCCAGGGGCAACGCCCAGTCCGTTGGAAGACCCGGGGACAATGCCCAAATTTGGGGGAAACTGGGGGCAATGCCCAGTCGTTTTCCTGGACGCGGGAGAAGCACTGCCCACGTCCTGGAGGTCGCACGGCCGTCCTAAGTGTGTTTGCGGCACACACAGAGAAATTTCCAAAACCCGAGTTGCTCTGGGGATTCCGTAGGAGCCGAGAAGAGGCCAGAAACCAGTGCCCACTGCTTGAAGGATTGAGGAAGCCTAGGGCGACTGGCGGGGCCGGGAACAATGCCCAAATTTCGGGGATCGGAAATCAGAGCTCTGTCTTATTTGCAGCCCAGAGAATGAGTGTCCTGAAGCAGAGGAACCCAGAGGAGACTCATTAGTGGGGGGAACCATGATTAATGGCTAGATTTGAGACGAACAAAAAAAAAAAAAAAAAAGCGTCCAAGTTTGGGGAGTGAAGGAAATTCCTCCATGCAATGGGGGTCGTAGTGATCCGAATCTGAAATGGGGGAACTCAGCATTTTAGCAACTAGAGGACCCACGAAATCCCAGATCAATAGAAGGGGGCGAGGTTTTTTGGTTGAATCGAATAACTTTCTCTACATGAAATTTGGGGGAATCTAAGAGGCACATTGCCTAAGATTTTAGGGATGAAAAACATGCATTTTGGGGATCTGGGCAAATTCTTAATGGGTCAGAGGAAAAAGCTGGAATTAATGTCCACGTTTTAAGAATGCAGGTCAGTGGCCTGGATACTCACAGCACTATAACCTTCCTAATTACTGCGGCTTTGTGGAAAATCCTCAAAGTTCTTTAACCACTTGGGAAACATTTTCTAAATTTTGGGGAACCCGAGTTGTAAGCAGTATATTTGAGAAATGCAGAGAATTAATGTCATTTTATATTTTAATTTGGCAAAATAGACTTTACTTAGTTAATTTTTGTTGAACAAGGTGGGGGAAGGCTAAATGTTTTCCTGGACCATGTTTGCATTTGGGGAGCCCCAGTAAAATAGTCCAAATGTGGGGATCCATGGAAATTACCCAATGGAAACTATCTAAATTCTGATAATTTGGTTACCTGATATCTAAATTTCAGATAACCAAGTTAGTAGTTAGAAAACTTATACAACACAGACCTCTAAATTCTAGGATTTGTGGGACCAGGGATATTTTCTGGTGTGCTTTGGGGACCCATGGAACATTGCTTAAACTTATGGGGACTCAGGGCATGGGGCATAAAGTTCATTAAAATTTAATAAAATCTCAGTTGTTCTGTGAAGGTAAAAAAAAAAATCTCAATTTGTTTTAAGTACTTCAATTTGGAGATCTTGGAAAATAATTTTTTCAATCCAATAATTCATGGAAGTTGCTCAGGATCCTTGGACGACTTGGGGGTCAATATCTGATTTGAGGAACAGGGATTAAGAAATTCTAAATTATAGAGCCTGGAGAATTGATGTCCAAAACTTGTGATCCGTAGGCAGTGTGCAGTGCGTTTGCTGAAAATATTGCTTAAATATGGATACTTTTCAGCGGGGGGCGGGGGGAGATCTATACCTTCCTGTAACTCAAGGATAATACTGAGTGTGTTTGGGGGCTGGAGGGCATCACCTAATATTTGAGGGAGCTCAGAATGTGCAAAGATGAGGAAAAGGGTCCAGTGTCACCCTGGGATTTGGGATTGGTATTGGAGTTTTAGAAAACCCAATTCTTGTCAGTAAACTAGGAGGACCCAGGGAGTTTTTTTTAATATTTAAAATGTTGTGGATGCAGAGAGAAAGCTCAAAATATTTGGGGAAACGGGGACATTCAAGAACGCCTGGAAGAACAAGAAATAGGCTCTGCTCAAGGTTGATTTTATACACATTGTGACCACAATACGTGGGCCTCCACGTATTTGGGATTTGGGAGAGGGTAGAAGACCCTCTTTCACACTTGATCATATCTTAGGTAATCATTCAGCCTGTTTTTTGGTGCCTGGGTCACAGTGGCTACATTGCAAAGAATCTGATTAGTGGCCAGGAAGCTTGTATAGCCTTGGAAATGAAGGTCCCAAATCCTTGTGGCCCATGGTGGTGGTGGTGGTGTGTGGGAGGGTGCTGCTCAATGAGTCTGGGGGATTATTGGTGAAAGCGTTTTTTAATTTTATGGAGTTCGAGGGATTATTGGTGAAAGCGTTATTTAATTTTATGGAGATCAGGAAATCAGAATTAGATTATTCAGAAGGGGCTTTGGGTATGATGCCTAAACTTGGGAGAAGGCATAGGAAACAATGTTCAATCTTTGAGGGGTTTAGGAAAATTGCTCAGAGGGTTGAGTAGACCTGAGATTCCACGTGTAAAATTCAGGGGAAAAGGTTGGGGACAAAAGATTGTAGAATTTGGTGGATAGTGTTCCAGACAGTAGTGAATCAGAAACAGGGCTGAAATACAGGGAAGTCAGAACAGTCAATTTAGGAAACCCTAAAATTAATATTTCAAAATTTAGGGACACGGAAACATTCTACTTGTTTTGGGGGAATGCTGACCACATCCTGGAGGGCCAGGAGATTTTGTCAGCATTACCACAGGACCAAGGGGTTCCAGTTGAAATTTGGGGGATCCGGGTTGCTCTAGGATCTTGGGGCGGGTGTATGTAAAATTGTTAAGAACCTCAGAGAAAACAAATTTTGGGGCTTCAACCACGTAGTGTACCTCTGAGGAAGTCAGCAGGGTCTTTTTTTTTTTTAATGTTTGGAAATTAAAGTTCAAAAAATTATTGTGAGCTGTGAAAACGCTGAATCTACAGGCCCCGGGGAGCAGTGTTTAAATTTGGAGGATCCCAGAAAAAGTAATGGTGGAGTTCGGGGAAAGCAGGGAAATTGTTCCGAGCATTGGGACCTTGGAGATCTGAGGCTGCATCTGAGAAGCCAAGCTGCGGCGCGGGAAGGAGCGCGGCCCGACCCACCGCGCCCAGGGACGCGCGCGCGGAGCAGTGGCGCCCTCCCGGGGGGACGCGAGCGCCGGCCGCACCGCGGCGGCTCCGTGGCGCGTGCAGGTAGCCCTGGGCGCCCGGGAACGCACGGCCGAGGGAATGAGCTTTTCGTTCTTTTCGCTTCTCGTCACGGAGAGGGCTTCCGTGGCGCCTGATCTGAGCCCGAGACTGTGTGAAACGGAGAACCTCGAGGGCTGCGGACGAGCGGCCGGGGCGCGGCTCCCCGC